AAATTATATTATTAAACCAAATATAAATTACTTCGTTATTGTACACAAATTAAATTATAAAAAAATTGAATTAAAATATTACACAAAAAATGAGAAATTTCAAATAGTTAATTTGATACTAATATCGATATATTTTTGTSAAATTTTTATGATATCTTCAAACATATATTTTTTATTCAAAAATAAAAACATCATCGCTTTCTCAAAATCACATAAAGTCATATTATAACATCGACTGAGATAAAAAATAAAATGAAATATTAAAATCATGATGTATCTCGCTGCATTGCGCGAGTACGCTTCTAGTATATATATATACACACACCCTTTGTTATGATTAGAGATGGCCAAATGGGCCCGACCCGGTAACCGCCGGAGGACCGGAACCGAGACCGGAGAGGGACCGGAATGGACCGGTTGTGGACCGCCGGTTATGGATTTTAACGTTTTCTAGGACCAAGATCGGTTAAGACCGAAACCGGTTATGTAACCGGTTATAGGACCGGGCCGGAAGACAACGTGTATATATATATAACAAAACGTATTTATAAAATTAAACGTATATGTATATATATATATATATATATATATAACAAAACATATTTATAATAAAACGTATTTATATAAAACATATTAAAAATAACATATTACAAACATATAAAAAATTTATTAATAAATAAAAATTTGAATTTTTTTTTGGCCGGGACCGAACCGGGACCGAATTCCTTAACCGGTTGCCGGTAAGCTTGACCGGTTACAAGGTATTTCACCAGAACCGAGACCGGGACCGGTTATGGCAGGACCGGTTACTGCCGGTTTTTGTCTTGATTAGGACCGGTAGGGACCGGTTAAGGACCGGCCTGAGACTGGATTTTGGCCATCTCTAGTTATGATCATTGACTTAAGAAAATACATTTAATTTCAGAAACAAATGTAGCAACTGATTCTACCAATAAGTTGACGATTTTTCAAAAAATTACATTCTAACATTAACAATTTCTATAGTTTGGAGATTTAAAGAGCTTTTTATTTTGTAAAAGAGAAAAATTCAAAAATACCCAATGAAATATCACATTTTGAGTGATTAAGTCCATAACTATTTTTTTGAATAAATAAATCCTTAATCTATATGAAATCAAACAAATAGATCCTTAAACTTACTAAAAACCAATAAAAACCCAACGAACTTTCATATTTTGAGCGATTAGGTCTTCAGACATTTCTTTAAATGAATAAGTACTTACACTTATAAACGAAATTTTTTAACCATTTTTTTCCATGTATCAATAAATCAGTAGAAAAGTACAAACAAACCAATAAAACAAAAGATACACCATTTTTTAGCCTTTGTTTATTTTCCGATTTAAATAACAATTAAAGTGTTTGTTCTGATCTTGTTATTGTCACTTAATTCTGAAAAATAAATAATAAATATCGAAAATGATATTTAATTTATTATATCAGTGTACTTCGTTACCGATCTAGATACACTGATTGATAAAATGAAAAATTGCTTTCGTTTAATAAGCATAAAAATTTATTTGTTCCTAAAAAATGGTTAGGAACCTAATCCCTCAAAAGATAAAAGTTCGTTGGGTTTTTTTTTTCCGGTTTTAAGTAAGTTTAATGAATTATTTGTTCGATTTCAGAAAATTCAAAGATTTATTTATTCAAAAAAATGTTTTAAAAACTTAAATCACTTAAAAAATGATAGTTCACTAAATTATTTGCGAGTTCCTTTGTAAAATAGTAATTTCCAAGTAGTTTTCAAACAATCATTTTTTTAAAACAACTAGTTTTACTTTTTATACAAACTAGTAATAAAGTGGTACACGATGTACAGTTATAGTAAAATAATGAGCAAAGAAATTCAATCAGTCTACTTTTACATAATAACCGACCAGAAAATTGAAATGAGGGTTTTTACATAGACCCATTTTTGGATGAAGTAAAAAATTATCTACTCCAAAAATTAATTTGGAGATTTTATTTTATCCATCAAAATTTAATTTTTGATAAGTATTGGAATTGATCGAGACAATTAAATATGTTGGATCATGGTGGTCGATATCAACCCTCTATTATTTGTTGTAATAATTCAGGGACAATTGATTGGATAGTTGTAAAAGTCCACGTGTCAGGTTTTACATATGCTTAAAATCATGTATTTTATATAACAAGAAATAAATTTTATTTATTCGGTCCAAATATAATAAAAACTATATTATAAAAATAGCTACCAACTTTTTTTTTCTTCTCAAAATGTCTATACAAAACTTGTACTTATAAGCAGTATGTAGGTACAAGTTACAACACATTATCTCAAATAATCTCTTCATAAATTCATTTTCTCTTAGTATCTAGTTACCTGACTTGTAATGCATAACTTAAAACATAAAAAATGAGGATTAAACCAAAAAGTCTAGTGAATAATCACCAAATACATTTACAAAACTCATATTTGTAAAAATAACAAATATACAACATTATGTATAACAAACATCTTTTGTCGCATCTAAAAGATGAGACATTATCAATTTATTGCATTAACTAACCCAATAACACATTCTGAAATAACTCATAGCATCAAATAGATTTAAATGTTAATGAATTCAGTTCTGATCTCAATATTAGAACTATCACAGATGCCCCGCCAACTATCAAGATTTAAACGATGAACAAACTAATTGGTCAAAGATTGAGCGACGAACACTCCCTCATCTCCGAAAGCTTGCGATATGAACACTCCCTCAACAGTAAACTTTATTCTCCGTTGTAACTTTTGGGATCATGTTGAATGAAAGACTTGTTTACTTGTCGATTGGACAAAGGTTATGAAATGTCTATTTTGAGTTCCTAGTTGTTATCGAAGTCGAATCTTGATGAAAAAAGATTAAGGGGCTGTTTGTTTTTTTAATTTTTCACTTAATCTCCTCTTATGTCTGAATCGGTCAGACATAAGAACT